GGTCCATTTTTTTCCAAAAATGGACCATGCATAGCCTTTAGGAGGCTTGTAGAGCGCTACAGGGAGGGGTGGGTGGGCACAAAATGAGCAAAAAAGCGGTCCATTTTTTTCCAAAAATGGACCATGCATAGCCTTTAGGAGGCTTGTACACTGCTCCTGGATGCTGGGGGGGGGGCAAAAATGAGCAAAAAAAGCAACCCATTTTTTGCTCGTTTTTGCCCTCAAAAATGTTGTATTCAGTGTATAAGATGCACCCAGATTTTCACCCTCTTTTTTTGGGGGGGGGTGTCTTATACTCTGAAAAATATGGTAATTAGTACAAAAGAAAAATGGGTGGGGGGGGAGTGTTATTCATTCTCTCAACCAGCAAGAATTAATTTTTGACTTTTAATTTGGGTGGGGAAAACCCTGGGGCTTTCAGAGTCAGGTTTTCACCAGGTGTGCCAATATGACGTGCCTGATAGAATTGTACTTTTTGGAACACCTAAGCCTCAGAGGTTTGATTGTGTTGGGTCTGTGACTTTGGAGGCCTGACCCTGTGCACATTACATATAAGCTGTTGCCTTCCATTCCATTTTTTTTTTTTAAAGACCAACGCCAACAGCTAACGTGCCCCCCCCCCTTTATACAATTAGCCACCAAATGGCAACCTGACGTTTCCAAATGTAAATAACCTTTTGTTCTCTTGCAGGAAGCAGGGTAAACTTTCCAAGGGACTACTAAAAAAAAGAAGTTCGCTTATGTCTTTCCTTTAAGACCTCCTTGGCAACCATGGGTGAATACAGTAGGTTTATAGAGTGGGACAAGATGGATCCTACCATCCAGGCTGAGGATGAGAAAGAACTGACCAGCACCGAATTTCAGACTGAAATGTTGAAACAACTGGCTCGCCAAGGTTACTGGGCCAAGAGCCACTCTTTAAGAGCCAAAGTGTATGATAAATTGATCGGCTCTATCCCTTGCCGCATGGTGACACCCGATGCCCACGTCTACCGAGACATTGTGGTGAAAATCGTTGGCAAGCGGAGCAGCAATACGCTTTCCCTTCCAGAATTCGTAGACAATAGCTTGGTTCCCACATACTGCCTCAACGCTGAAGGCATCGGGGCCGTCAGTAAAATCATCTCTTGCATTGGAAGCCAGTTCCCGGACATCTCGTTCTGTCCGGCTCTGCCTTCCATGGTGGCCCTCCTCCTTCACTACAGCCGGGATGAAGCCGAGTGCTTTGAGAAAGTTTGCCGCATCTTGGCCTGCAATGACCCATCCAAGCACTTCATCGATCAGACCTTCTTGGCTTTTGAGTCGTCTTGCATGACCTTCGGGGACCTGGTTAATAAATACTGCCAGGCAGCTCATAAACTTATGGTGGCCATCTCGGAAGACGTGCTAGAGGTCTACTCGGATTGGCATCGTTGGCTCTTCGGGGAGCTGCCCCTCGTTTACATCGCCCGCGTCTTCGATGTGTTCCTGGTCGAAGGTTACAAGGTGCTCTACCGGGTGGCTTTGGCTCTCCTCAAATTCTTCCACAAGTTCAGAGCTGGGCAGACCCAGGAGTCGGAAAACGTGCAACAGGACATCCGAGCGTTTGTGAGGGACATCGCGAAGTGGGTCTCGCCCGAGAAGCTGCTGGAGAAAGCGTTCGCCATCCGTCTCTTCTCACGGAAGGAGATCCAGCTTTTGCAAATGGCCAACGAGAAGGCCCTGCAGCAGAAAGGCATAACGGTGAAGCAGAAAAGGTAGTGGCATGTCAGGGTCTTCCCTTAAAGGCTAATTTAAATCTGGGAACTACATTCTTGCATTTATGGGGATTAAATAATACTGTAAAATCAAGCGTATCTGTGCGTCCATCCTCGGTTTCAACCGTTGTGAAAAACATAGATAATCTACCGTGTTTCCCCCAAAATAAGACCTACCCAGATAATAAGCCCAATCAGGCTTTTGAGCATATGTGCTAAAATAAGCCCTCCCCAGGAAATAACCCCCCCAAAAAATAAGCCCTCCCCAAAAATATTTAATCGTATACGCAGCCAGTCTCTGCTATATCCTCTGGTTAGGGTTAGGGAGACAGAGCTGGAAATCAGATGGGAGCCCCATCTTGCTCCATGTGCCCCAAATAATAATAATAATAAGACCTCCCCAAAAATAAGGCCAAGCACTTATTTCAGGGTCCCAAAAAATATAAGACAGGATCTTATTTTCGGGAAAACGCAGTATATACTGTATGTGCATGTGAAATTGAATTCTTTATTGGCCAAGTGTGATTGGACACACAAGGAATTTGTCTCCGGTGCATAAGCTCACAGTGTATTTATCATATCTCTAAGTTTAATTGAATCAATGAGAATAACCTCAGCGGATTTTTTTCCCCTGTAATTTGTCACGTTACCCAGGAAATATTAGGTTATTCTTCCAGAATATTTCTTCAGGAGCAAAATGGCGACCTCTAGATCAATGGGACAGTGTTTTTAAGTCACAATAACAAGTACGTAGGGAGTTAAAGCCCACCAGTGTATTTGAGGATTACAAAATTTCCTCAAATTAATTAAGCACAGACCAGTATTAGCGCCTCTTAATCCTATGTATCCAATATATTGGAGAGGCAGATCAATATACAGTATATTGCTAAAATTGTGGCCAAAATTAGTAGTTGACAAGACTACTAATGGGAATTTTTTTGTATAACCTTGAAGAAAAGCTAATATTCTATCACATTTGGTTGGAAGGAGTTCTTGCATCTACCGTATTTCTTGGAGTATAAATTGCCCTTTCCCCTCCCCCCCCCTAAAAGAGGGTAAAAATTTGAGTACGTCTTATACACCGAATGTAGCCAAAAATGCGAGGCACGGAGGAGGCGATGGTCTGTGGCAATCCCTGCAGCCTGGAACAGCTGATTGGGGGTATTNATACAATCTCAACTTTAAACCAGTGCAGAAGTATGCATTTTCTGCATGATCGCTAATTCATCTAGCCTTTAGGGTTTTCCAACAAAATAAAGAATAGAATTCTTGATTGGCCAAGTGTGATTGGGCACACAATGAATTTGTCTTTGGTGCATATGCTCTCAGTTTACATAAAGAAAAATAAAATATAATACATTCATCAAGAATAAAAAAGATGCAACATTTAATGATAGCCAAGGTTACTAATAAGCAATCAAATCGTACTAGGAGACAAAACAATATAAATTGAAAGATACAAGCAAGATGGTTATAGTCATAAGTGGGGAGAGATAGATACTAGGAAGGAAGAATAATAGTAATACAATCTTAGTAAATTATTGACAGTGTTGTGGGAATTAGTTGTTTAGCAGAATGATGGCGTTTGGGGGGAAAAACTGTCCTTGTGTCTAGTTGTTCTGGTATGGAGTGCCCTATAGCGTCATTTTGAGGGTATGAGTTGAAACAATTTATGTCCAGGATGTGAAGGGTTCGTAGATATGTAGTGCACCCTTCACTGTTGTCCATCTACCAAATGTATTAGGATTACACGTGTGTGTAAGACTTGATTGCACACAAAGGGTTACCTTTTGGGGTTTTCCTGCCTTGCACCCTGATTTAGTTTTGCATCATCCAGAAAGAGCATTGCAATCCCTTTCCATCATATAAATTTAATAACAAATATAATGGTCATATTAGAGGTGGAATGGGTTTATGCTTTTTATTATGAGCGTTGTAAGTAGTAAAAGGGAAGATGTATTTCAAAACATGAGCAATCTAAAATGATTGTTGCCACCTCTTATCCGCTGGGCTGGTTGTTGATACTTCAAACAATCTAAAATTTTCATAGTTACAGAGCTGTTTTGGCATAAACACAGAATACTAGATGTTAAACACCTATTTATATTGGGTTTTTTCCCCCTCATCATGTGATGCTAAGCTCAAATGCACCAAATTGATAAACTTGAAATGGCTAATATCCTACAGGTTAAATAAACAAAAGAAAACTACCCTTGTTCATTGTTTTTATAGTGCTTTAATTGGTGCTTCATAAAAGTAATTACGCCTTCGGGCACTAAACTTTAGTACGTGCTGCAAAGCTTCAGCATGGACAATATTTTTTTCCAGATTTATTTCAAGGGATTATAATTGAACTGATTTTTAACCACGAGTAACCAATTAAGCTATTATTTTCTCATGACTTTTGGTTGAAAAGCAATTTAGAGAGTGGGAGAGGCTACATTGATATCAAAACCATTTAAAATAAATTGAATGCAGTAGTTTAACTACAGCTAGAAGTTTCATATTCTTTAAGGTAAGTTTTTAAATTTTAAGACACCCACAAATTTGTTTTCTTAGATTTTTAATCGGAGTATTAGATATTCAGTCATCCAGGCTACATTCTCATTTGTCCTTTTTCTGAGGAAACACCTTGGTTAGCTGAAGTTATTGAATTTTTTTTATAACCATTCAGCGAGCAAGATGCTTAAAAGTCTATTTTTTTCCTTCTCTATAAGGAAAGAAAATAAACATTGGTAGTATTGATTTTTTTAACCAAATCTGGTTGGTTCAGATCTATTAGCCTTTCCTAGCTGAATGCTATAGATTCAATTTAGCTGAGAAAAGTGTAATGTCAATGGGATTATAAGGATTCAAGTCTATAGATCATTTTTAGTATGGGTAAGAGCATTGTTTGGGTTTCATAATTATATGATTTTAAAAAGGCTTTATTAGACTGCAGTTGTTTCCATTTTCAAGCTATAGGTTATTCTAACCTAGTTCTAAAAGGGATGTGGTGGCTCAGTGGCTAAGATGCTGAGATTGCCAATCAGAAAGGTCGGTGGTTCGAATCCCTAGTGCTACATAACCGAGTGAGCTCCCATTACTTGTCCCAGCTTCTGCCTACCTAGCAGTTCGAAAGCATGTAAAAAAATGCCAGTAGAAAAAATAGGAACCACCTTTACTGGGAAGGTAACAGTGTTCCGTGCACCTTCGGCGTTGAGTCATGCCGGCCACATGACCACGGAGACATCTTCAGACAGCGCTGGCTCTTCGGCTTTGAAAGGGAGATGAGCACCGCCCCCTAGAGTCGGGAACATCTAGCACATATGTGCGAGGGGAACCTTTACCTTTTACTATATTAATTTATTTTGATTCTTTTTGTTACTTTTTATTGTTTTAAATGTGGTTTTATATTCTGTCAGCCGCCATGAGTCACCATGGACGAATAGGCTGCAATTTAAATTCAACAAATAAATAAATAATTGTAGACTTGGTCTCAAGCATGTTCCAGCCACATAAGCCTTGTTCTCCTATCCCTCACCTGTCAAATACTGTATATATATGTGTATATATGTATGTGCGTATGTATGTGTATGTATGTATGTATATATGTGTGTGTGTATGTGTGTAATATTTGAAATATATGTATGTATGTATGTATGTTTTGTTGTATTTGTGCTGATAAATAAATAAAGGGAGACTAGTATAGATCTATTTCAAGCTATTTAGCTCTCATCAGCTAGCCATACCCTTACTGGGATTTGNGCTCACACTGAAAAAAAATTAGAGGGAACATTGCCTAAGGATCCTTTCTTCAAATTTAAAAAAAAAGTCCTGGGCTTTCCTTGACTTTCTCCAACTTCTTAGATGAGAAGTGAAACGTCTTTAAGGAAAATCCTTTAGGTGCTTTTGAAAAAGCACCTAAAGGAACAACTGGATGACCTTGATGACTGAAATAAATGAACTACGTAGAAGTCGTGAATGTTGTGAGGGAGATTCCTAGGAAAGAAAGGTGAACTGGCAAATTTAAAAACCATTGAAGGAATTGAGAACTGACTTTTTCTGAAGAAAAGAAAATGTGTTCAACTGTCCTTCGTTTCACCGTTGGTCTGCTCAAAACTTACTCTGTGTTTCTCTGTAGGCTTTTTCCATGCACTTGGTGGGGATATATGAAACTGCTGGTCTTTTCTTGATTTCTCTCTCTCTTTTTTTGTCTCCGTTCTTGGGCCTTCTTTTCTGTCAATTCCGTATCTGCTGCGTTGCTTTGCAGCAGTAGATCCCCCAAAAGGTAGGTTTGAACATTTGAATCTTCATGCTCTGCTATTCTAACTTGATTTGGCTTCAAAATGGCTGTGGCTGCACTAAGGTGATGGTAATAGTAAGCTTATGTGCGTTGGTGGCTGCGCGGTAAAACTTAAGGCTGTCTTTCCTTGCTGCTGTCAAATGAATAACAGAGTTAGAAGGGATCTTGTAGGTCCTCTAGTCCAATCCCACCCAAGCAGGAGACCCTACAGCATTTCTGACAGATGGCAATCCAGTCTCTTCTTGAAAGCTTTCACAACTTCTGAAGACAAACTTTAATAGATTAGCAGAGTTGGAAGGGACCTTGTACCAGTATAACAGAATAATAGAGTTGGAAAGGGTCTTGTAAGTCAGTGGTTCCCAAACTTGGCAACTTTAAGACTTGTGGACTTCAACTGGACTTCAAAGAGCTGGCTGGAGAATTCTGGGAGTTGAAATCCACAAGTCTTAAAGTTGCCAAGTTTGGGAACCACTGTTGTAGGTCAACAATCCAACCCTCCCCCACCCAAGCAGGAGACCCTACGCCATTTCTGACAGATGGCAGTCCAGGCTTTACTTGAAAGCCTCCTAAAGCTCCCACAACTACTGAAGGCAACCTATCAATAGCCATAGCAGTTAGACTTATATATCGCTTCATAGGGCTTTCAGTCCTCTCTAAGCGGTTTACAGA